TCCACTGAGAATTTACATCACAATCCACCCCTTCTTATTATACTTCAAAGCAGTATCACAGGAATGATTACTCGACCGTCAGTATTATCGAAGCCCTAGATGCAGATATCAGTGGCTGCCACCAATAAAGAAAATCACATTTATCCTTAGGAGTTTTTGAAGTTTTCTTACATCTAAAACATTTTTACCCCAACGGGCTACCTAACACATACACAGAAATATGAATCTACTACCCCAATCATGAAGTCACGTCACTGGCTCCCAGTTCAATGCATAATTACCTTTAAAATCTTTCACAAACATTTAACCGTTTGGTATACTGACTGACACTAAGCCAGTCAGTATGTCTGACTGGCTTAGTGTCTATAACCCAGTTAAAGTTTCAGGTAATCAGGTGCAGATCTTTTAAATGTTCATAAAATTAGACCCAATATGCTGAGGGTGCCTTCAGTTATTGTGGTCCTGTTTTTTGCAACAAAGCCGCCAACTGACCTGAGATCAAGTTCAACTGTGTCTACATCCAAAAACAGACTAAAAAACACTTTTTATTCTCAGTGGTTTACACTTAACTGTGTGTTTGAAATGTAGTCTTATTTCCTTGTAAAGTCCTGTTGTTTTTTGAGGTTTTCTTGCATTAAATCACTGTAGAGCTATGCAATTTATTTTTAACTTGTCGTTAAGCACATCCAGTTGATGTGTAACGTAATGTGCTATATAAACAAAACTGACAAAGGGAAATCACCACGTGTGTGAGAAAAATATTTAACCACTTGAAGTTATCAAATGCCAGAAACAACAGCAACACAAAATTTTGTCCCCGTCTGAACTCTATCCAGGTAGATCCAGGCTCATTGTCGTTGTGCAACAGCAAGTTTGCATAGGCAAAAGCATTCAAAGACAGTCTTAAAACCGCTGAAACACTCTTCAGGAGATTTTGTTTCCATAACATAAACACAAAAACTTTCATGTCTCTCAAAACTACACTCACTATAATCATAAAAATAAAATCCCCCCCCCTTCAGACAGACAAATAACTGCCTGGCATTGCACATTTTTGGTTTGTTTACCTGACACAACGACTCTGTACTCAGATCGTCTGGAGGGGGGTCCATATCTGCCTCTGGGCGCTCCTCCGATCCCAAACCCTCCTCTGGATCCCCTGCCGCTCCGAGGAAACTCCACTCGCAGTCTGTAGCCGTCGTAGTCGTATCCATCACGTCCATAGACGGCATCATCAGCGTCCCTATTAAATAAAACAGTTTCGCCTTAGACATAAACAAATGCACGACGGAACAGGCTTGCAACACGCAGGCAGCCATGTTAGCGGCTAGCTTTATTACTAAACGTCTACTAATCCGCTTTGCAAATGCAACCGCAGCATTTAGTCTCATGAAACTTTTGTTTCATGGAAAACATATAACGATTGACCAAATTAACATGTAGCAAAGCATAAAGCTGCGAGTGCTTTGACGCAAGTCGTCTGCAGCGAAGAAGCGAAGCGGGTGTATTAATCTCCAGCAACATGGACATTAATACCACAAAGGCACCAAGCTTCAGCGCAGGAAAAACGGGACACAGGCGTATGCAAACCAAGTCGAAAGCGAAAGTAGCACGCGCGCACACACATACCAAATTTAATTACGGGAATAACAGAAAAAAAAACATCCAGGAAATAGTCTGAGCCCTAAGCAACGCGTTAGCACACACACGAGTTTGTTAGCAACACAATGGGACCGCCTCGGGCCTGGCGCGGCTAACCGTTAGCTTCTTACCTGGGGTCTTCGAATTCAATAAAGGCAAACGGGGGCCCCCCTCTCCGGTTCTTCAAGTCGATATCTCGAATCGTCCCGTACTTGTAGAACACGTCCTCCACATCTTTCGTGCGTATATCTGGCGGGAGGTTTCCCACGTAAATTCGGCAGTCGTTGTTCCCAGCGGGGCCTCGCACAACACCCGACATCGCTGCTAACTCAAGCTAACAGTTCGCTGTTTCCAGGATTCTTTAACGCCTGCTGGTGATTAGACCCCGAGCGCCTGCGAGTGGTCGAGGCAAAAAGAAAAACGAGAAAGCAATCAAATGAGCGCCGTTTTACGCTACACTGTGAAGGGTATTTACTGAGCAGACAATACTCCCGACGAGGTGACTCCTACCCCAGCGCGTTTTTTTTTAACCGAGCAGGGCATTCATCAACACCGGAAACACTACAGCCGAGTCTGACACATCCGCCTTAGAAAATAGTCCGACCATATCCAAAGCTATCAATGTTTTTGTTAATAACATTTGTCATCAAATAATATATATTATAATATCATATAATGCACATCGCTTATAATGCAAGACTTGCTATATTGGTATTATTTCTATATAATATAAGCATCAGCTAAATAATAAATGTTTTATAAATATAGACACTTACCAACAGGCTTATAATTTTGCTTCATTTTTACCAGTTGTTAATTCAAGAATATAATTAATATAATTTTTTCAATAATATAGCCCAGAATGGGGAGGAAAGGTGATTTACGTGATATTAAATGTCGCATGGTTGTTACTGCATTACAGCCTGGTTTGCATACCTCAGAAACTGCCTTATGCTGGGATTTCCCCACACCACCACCCCTAGAGTTTATAGAGAATGGTCTCAAAACAAGAGAATATCCACTGAGCAACAGTTCTGTGAGCAAAAATGCCTTGTTAATGCCAGAGGTCAGAGGAGAATGGTCACACTGCTTTCAGCTGATAGAAAGGCAACAGTAACTTAACTTCCACTCGAAGTTAAGTTGGCCCCGAGTGGCCCCCCCTGGCAAGACTGCCCTATGTTGATAATAATGTAATAAGGTTGCAGAAAAGCTGCTGCCAATCCCTGGACAGACCACTAATCCTTTTTTTGTCTTTACTGAACAGGTAAAGTTAAAAACTAACCTCTGCCTCCCATACAAACTACGGAGTATATTTGATACTTTTAAAAAGAAGCATAAAACCCACCTGTGGATTGCTTTTATTTAGTTTTAGTTTCTTTTTATACTGTCTTTGTTGTTGCATTTTATTTTATAGTCTAGAGCCCTTTGTGAAAATAGGGTAAAGCACTAGAAAGGTGCAGAGGTGGGAACTAACAAAGTACAAATACTACATTACTGTACTGAAGTAGACTTTTCAGGTATTTGTACTTTATTTAAGTATTTATTTTTCTGACAACTTTTTACTTTTACTCCCTACATTTTAAAACAAATATCTGTACTGTCTACTTCGTACATTTTCAAAACAGACTCATTACTTTTAGTTCAGAGGGAGTGCAGGTGTCCATTAGTTGTGTTTGCATTGCTTCAAAATGTAGCTAGCTCTACAGAAAAGGAGGAAGCATGAAGTGAGTGACGTTTTTCAACTGTCAGGTAATTTTAAATTCAACATTTCTATCAGCTCAACAAATATCAGCAAACACACTAACTATTTGTGTGCAGTTAGTCACAGTCTGTCTGGGAGCTGAAGGTGTATTAGCTAACTGCAAGCTAAAGGTGTATTTCCAGGGGAGAGAAAAGCGTGCAAGAAAACTTCACTCCGAAATGGAGAAAGATGTAAGAAAAGACAGGAGAGGAAGAAGAGAGGTTATATTTAAAGGCAGTATAGGTATTTTACTCGGTGACGCTTGATAAACTTTAAATTTAAAACTTACCTGTAATGTCATAATTTTAATCACATATAGGATATTTCTGCAAAACAAACTAAGCTATACTAACATTGTGTTATGCAAATGTCACACGAAAATACGTGTGATAGTTTGTATGGGAGGCAGAGGTTAGTTTGTCGTACTGTGGTGAATTTTTTGCGTTGGTTTACGTCAACTGTAGTACACTAATTTGCATTTAAGATGATGATGGTTCAGTTAATTCACAGAATTCTACCTTCATACCAACTGTATACAGTCTAGTATGAAAACAATATGCAGTGGACCCTCAGTACAGGAAATGGAAATCAGCCAAGATAGCTGTGAAACATCTGTTATTATCTTGTTGAATTCAGTTGTGTAAGGGAGCAACACGTCAGCTGATCACAGCATGTACATTAAGAAGCATCTGCATATACATTGTGAGATGTGGTTATTTTCCCCACACTGAGACACTACACCAGCTGAATCTCACTGTAACCCCTTACTGTACTAGTTTATCGGTTTAAGTGGGGAGGCAGTGTCACCCTCTACAATGTAGGCAACAGAACAATTTTTTCAAATTCTCTTGCTGCTTTTGTACATACTGAGTACATTCATTAGAATTTAGATTCAAATATTTGTAATCTCATGTAGTAATATTATTATTATAGCACAAATAAATTAAATCCAAATCCTTTCTGTGTGGAGTTTGCATGTTCTCCCCGTGTTTGCGTGGCTGCTCTTTAGGTACTTTGGCTTCATCCCACGATCCAAAGACATGCAGTTAGTGGGGTTAGGTTAATTGAATGTGAACGTGAGTGGGAATGGTTGTCTGTCTCTATGTGTTAGCTCTGGGACAGACATGCGACCTGTCCAGGGTGTATCATGTCTCTTGCCCTAATACAGCTGGGATAGGCTCCAGATATATATACTAATGTGTCAAAACATTATCAAGGGTACGTCACACTGTTTTGAGTACATTTGTTGTTAGTTTTTCTTATTTAAAAAGACTTGAACCGGGCTTGAAATGAAAAAAAAAAAGTCCATAAATATTTGAATGTGACATTTTGAACTATTAGGAGTTACACGTATGTCAAACTACAGAATGGTGGAAATGAACTGTAGCTGACAAAGAATATCACAGAAGCGCTCCAGCATCACGTGTCAGATGCCTTTTCTGGACATTTGACACATTAGATAACATATAGAATACCCTTAAATTACAGGGTTTGAAAGATGAAAAAAAATCTTTAAAAAAAGTGAAAACGAATTTTCTCCACATAGTGATTCAGTGTCTGTCATCTTATAAAGAGCGTGACATACCATTAACCTTCATAAAACAAAACATCTCAATCAGACTTTACTAGAACACAGTTTTATTGCCTAAATACTTACATTTGAAATATGTTTATTAGACATATAATGCTACTAAGAATGATAACACACATCAGCATGTGTTGTATATTACTTATTGAGCTGATTGTACTTCATACCTGGGGACTGTAGATGCAAATTAGCTTCAAGCTAATTCTCTTACAATATGTCTATTTGTGCATGTTCACTGCTAACTAAATAAAGAAACTGAACTACACAAATCCACTTTCTCTGTCACACAAGCACAGAAGCTTCACATAACAACTTCTAAATAATAGATTGGGAGCTGTATCATATAGATTCAGCTTCTTTAACTATTTAGTTAACTGTGTTTTGAGTTGAACTAATATCATTACTGTGGAGCACATGTTAGGCTGGCATTGCAATATTAACTGCAGGATTTAAAGCTCTAGTCAAAGTACTGCTACAACACAAGTAAAGCATGAGCCTTTCATTCAGCACATGTGTTAGAAACACCCAAGGCCATGTTCTGATTGTTCTCATTTGTCAAGGCAAGATATTTCATTTAATATCATTATGTAGGCCAATATTCTGAAATAACCTAAGAATATGCAGTACATCTTCTCTGTAATATATCTTGTTATGGTGTGGAAGAACACACTGCTAGTTAAAATGTTCTTTTTATACTCTTCAATATGCATGGCAGGAACCGTAAATGCGCTGGCCAGCCTCTCCATAGTTATCTCCACCGGTGTACTTTCCCTGACATGCCAGACTGTTCACCTGCAGATACAAACGAGAGCAAACAAGCAGAGAAACGTCATACAAATAGCAACTGGTTCTTTTTTTTTACGTGTGCATTAAAAAAAGACTGGAAGCTACCTCTGCTCTCTTGATGAACTGTTCAGTGGCGGCTTTCTCGTTCTCTTTATGTCCTCTCCAGGCTCTGAGTGCAGACGCCTGCAGGGCTCGTCCGAAGGAGAACGTCAGGACCCAGGGTTTGGGCAGAGGGCAGTTGTTGATGGCATTAAGGTGGATAGAGGCCTCCTCTTCACTCTGACCTCCCGACAGAAAAGCAATGCCTGTGCACAAAAACATGAATTTGTTCTGTTTGGTTTCTGCACACGTTTCTGTTTCTAAACCTCTAAATGAGAGCATCATTTTAACTTACCTGTCACAGCTGGGGGAACTGTGCGGCGCAGAGCAGTGAGGGTTGCCATTGCAACCTCCTCTGGGCTGTATTTGGTGGAGCAGCTGTGTCCAGAAGTGACCATGTTGGGTTTGAGCAGAGTGCCTTCGAGGTACACGTGGTGGTCTGACATGGCCTTGTACACTGCAGCCAGGACCTGCAACACAGACACTGTTTTACTAAAGAAGCAGCAGAGTGGTACAGAATGTCTGAAAAACCCATAAAAGTAACAGCGCAACCACTCCCTACCTTCTCAGTGACATACTGGCAGCGCTTCAGGTCATGATCACCATCAGGCAAAATCTCTGGCTCTATGACGGGCACGATGCCATGCTGTTCAAGGAAAAATAGACGATCAAACACTGTATATGCATTAGATCACAGTGATGTGTGGATAAGCATTTAGGCTTTATGATTTGGAGTCCTGACCTGCTGGCAGATACTAGAGTAACGTGCAAGAACATTCGCATTTTCTGTGATAGCCAGCTTTGATGGATTGACGTCACTAATTTTGAGCACACAGCGCCACTTTGCGAAGACAGCGCCGTCCTTTTTATACTGCGCACAACGCTCAGACAATCCATCCAGACCTGTGGAGAACGGTAAAAAGTACAAAGAAAAAAACAGAGAAGGGAAATGTTCATAAATGGGAAATTGTGGTGATGAAACGGTTGATATCAGCAGCGGTCCAGTGTGAGTCTGACTGACCCTGTGTGGTGGTTTCTCCACAAGTTCCTGCCAGGGGAACAACACCTTTGTCAACCTGAAGAATGCAGACAATAATTTGAATCAAAATCCAAACCTATTATCATAAAAAGTTGATAACCTAAACAGATTTAATCCGTTTAATTTAATAAAAGTGGTCAGACCTTGACCCCAACCAGGATTCCCCTGTCCCTGATCATTTTGACAAAGGGAACTCCATTATCAGAGTGTTGGTACAGGGTCTCGTGGAAGAAGATGACCCCTCCGATGCAGCTGTTGATGCGATCGTCCGCACTGAAGAGGATCTGCCGATACTGCCTGCGGTTCTCCTCCGTGTTCTCCACTCCGACTTGAGCCAGCCGCTTAGCCATACTGCCTGCAGTGGGTGTATTGTCATTGACATTTAAACGAGGTGATAACTTACACTCTTTGATTGGATTGGACATAAGGTGTGCACTCACTAAATGTGCATGTTTAAAGAAGGAGCGCTACAGACCTACAGACTCATCTGCAGCCAGGATGCCCTTCCCTGGAGAAACTATGCGTAAAGCGGTCTCATGCAGCTCCCTCTTCTGAGCCTCGGAGAGCGTTGGGAACTGATGCGTCATCCTGAGTGACTGATTGTCTGAGCAGCTTTTGGAAGAAGATTTGACTGATTATTATTCACTCATTAGCAGCTAAAAAGGGCAGACACTGAAGTGTAATCAAACAGAAAATCGGTCCAGTGTTATCTAGATTTAACACCCGTCCTCCTATCATCTATCTACCTTAAAGATGTGAGAGCTTGTTTGATTTGAAGGATACAGTAACAGCAGATTGATCCATATTGGTACTTTTCCAATAATGAGCGTGTCTGCAGCTGTTTATAAAGCTTTGAGTGCATCATTGTTTGGTAATGTGAAGAAAAGGTTTATCACTTTATAGCCCTTTAATAGTAAGTCCAGGCTTGGATGCCATTCAAATATTTTCTGATTTCCAGATGTGATTTTCACAGCGCTAGAAAGAGGCTAATTAGGTGGGAAAAAACGCAAGACCACAAAAATCTTTAATCACAGTCAGATAGTTGATCAAACACTGATAGCAGTGTAAAAAATATATGAAATTGTTAGAGCTGCTGCACAAATCTTCAAATTTTAATAAAATCTAAAGGCAGCTTGTATTTCAAGTTTGTGAAGACAGCATTAAAATCAGCTGAATATAAAAATAACGAGATAAAAGCTCTTACCTGAAATTAAAATGGGTCTCATCTACTGACGCGATGAACACTGATGGAGCCTCCCTGCCAGCTTTAGTTTGTATCCAGCTCAAGTGTGTCACACCTCACAAGCCAACACCCCTGGGCGGAGCGTGTACGCCCACCTTTGCCCCACATGAATAAAAAAAATGTGATGATTCATTGTTCTATTTAAATATAGTGATTTTTTTTTTCAAATTCATTTAGCTCCATCTTTATCACGTTGATATAGAATTTTTCACATGGCCACACTCACTTTGACTCAGCAATGCTTAGAAACCTGGAGTTTTAAACTGGTTTACTTTATCTTTTACATGCAAATTGTTTTTAATAATGCTTCCCACATGTTCAGGTTGCTTGCAAAACACAAAATCATGTATTAAGTCAGAACCTTCTGTCCATTAAGGGCCTAAATGAGGCGTTTAACCACACCCCGTGGTGTGCTATTTTTATTCTAATTAGTAAAAATGTGCCCTGAGGATGGCTTGAATTCTCCTGATAATTTGATCTTCACCCTGAAATTCTCAGGGGTGTTTGAGTCTCCAAGCAATTCGTGCACTCAGTGGCTTTTCCGCAACGCTTTAAACTGTGAAGAAAATGATGGAAAGTTCCAGAAATGGAAATCATTTCTAGGTTCCAGTCAGTGTAAAAGTGGGCCAAAATGGGCCAAATCAGAAGGAAATTAGGTCAACTAGATCATTTCCCCTATGAAGAGCAGGTTTTCAACCATTTTTTTTGCTTCTTTATTTTGTGTAATTGGCTTCTGTTTGAAAATGAAAAGTTTCAAATAATAATACTTTGAATAATAATAATGTGTGTGGTTTAAAAAGTTTAAAATGCAAACTTGAACGATGCTTATCATCAGCCAGTCGGGATCATTTCATGGCTTTTGAATTTGATTGTGACTACTTGCGTGTCAATCTGTGTCTTTGTGCACATTTGCAGGATAAGCTGCAACTGATGTTTTCTGTTGTGTTCAGTTATGTAATGTTACTATTTGGTGAGAGTCTGTGGGATGGCCCTCCAGGATTTCAGGGGACTCCTCTCTTCACTATTGTGGGTCAGTGTGCCTCTAAAAGCAGATATGGGTCAATGGACTGCCTGCCACCATACAGCCACAACACAGGCATGGTGGACCTGTCTAAGACAAGGGCCTGAGAGGTGGTGGGAGGAGCTGGTGCACTCCCATTCAGGAGATACAGTTTTAAATAGATTCATGACTTCAAGAAGTACAGCAATTATGTGTGGCTGCCTCCTCTGGGACCCTCGACTTTTTCTCTGTTACCTAATTAAAAGCATCTAATGATGATACTTTATCTGGTCCTCAATTTTCTGTCCTATTATTGGTTGTCCTCAGTGGGTTTGTGAGCGCTCCTGTAAATAGGCCAACCCAAGGCTGCCTGAGATACCTGAGATAAGAAAAGTGGCCAACAGAAAACACAGCAGGCTCATTTATGTTTTTGTGCTAGTGCTGATATACAGAAATATAAAAGAAACCCTTTCAGATTGGTGTTCCCTCATTTTTATTCTATAGAAGTAAAAACGTCAAACCTGAAAGAGAGCTGGGTCTTTACAGTGTATGTGACCTCTTTCTTGAACTGCCTGTCAACATAAAGTTCCCTGAGCAAGGCAGGCATGATGGTTCAGGGTCACCTGATCCAGTCCTAACTATAAGTTTTAAGTCTAATCTTAAAATCCAGAAATGGTTGACTACACAGCAATGGGGAAAACAAGAAAAACATGGTCCACCATTAAACACAGAAATATAAAACCATCGTGTAGCTCTGTGGTCTTTAAACTGTTTCCAAAAAAGTTAAGTCCCCGCAATTCTTTTATTAATCATTAACACAGCCAGTTTAATCAGTGAAACAAAGGTCAGGAAGACAGTGTTCATTCAACTCAGTGTCACTCATTTGTTTTTCATCACTGGTCGCTCCTTGTAGTAGCTCTACTCCCCCACCAGCAGGACCTGCACCACAGTTTGACAACCACTGCTCTAACTACATCATAGAGTATTAAGAAATAATAAACATAAATAAATTAATACTTTATTTAAAAAATTAAACTTTATTTGAGCAATTGCATTTAAAAACAACAGACAGTGTATATTAAACAACTGTTAGCAACAACATAAAATGATATACAGTTAATACAAGGACACGTGTGTATAGAGACATCAAAACCTCACCTTCAACTGCATCATGGGAGAGACATGCTGAAGTT